AGAAGAGGCTATCCACAATGGAGTCCATGATGTGATCAATGTCTGAATCCTTAACATCCCCTCGATTTATAGCTGAAAAAAATAAGATAAAATGTTTATGTTACTAAAGCCAATGTTATTGCCCCTTTATTGATATCAATGTTTACTTCATTTATAGGTTATTGATGGTGAAGCAAATTACTAATGAAATATCCATTTAAACCCTATAGACAATATACAATACAGAGGTTACCAAACAGGTATCATAGTTATTCCCATTCTACATTCATTTGCTAGACTTAACAGTTGGATCCGTGCCCACTTCACAAGTCTTTCAAGTCAAAAAGTTACAAAAGCATCAGAGGCAGGGCTTCCATGGTGGCATGGGGGGAGGGGGGGGCACCCACCCCTACCTGCAATGTGCCCCCCCAATGGTCATTAACTTGTCGTAATGTCAATCATTGTGTGAAGTTCTTTACTGACGGTGCACATTGCACCTTGAATTTAAGTGGTACTTAGTTAAAACTGATTACTACACAAAAGATCACTGCTATGTTCACCGTACAGAGCTACAAGCACTGTACAGCAAACATCATAGTGCTCTGTGTGTTAGCCTACTACTTGGTAAAGAGTACATCTAGTATATTTTATGTGGCCAAGAAAAGCAAGATGAAACTGTACAATATAAATATTGAAGTGGGCAGTCTTAATTTTTGTTACATTTGGGTGCCCCCCCCCAGATTTATTGTTGTTACCCCCTGTGCCCCCCACCAGAAAATTATCTGGACACGCCCCTGAAAGGCATCTATCACTTACCGTAATATGAGAGAGCATCAGAACCCTGGTGTTTCAATGTGAACATATCATCCTCTAAACTGATGAAATTGACATACTGGTCAAATACCTACAAGAGAAATATATGATTATTTCCACACCATTAATAGGATATTGCTGAATTTATTAAAAAAAAAAAAAAAAAAAAAAAAAAAAAAGTCTATTAAGATTATGATAGGTCTTGCACAGTATATTGAAAATTTTTGTAAGTCAAAACAAAATACTACAGTGAAATCATCCTTTTCATATACAAAAACTTGTAAACAGTTACTATGCATTGCATGAGAAAATTATTTTCTCCTGTTTTTTATCATTCATTCTGAGTTATGCTCTAAGCATTTACAAACCCATAAATGGTTTCATTCTTATTTTTCTTACTACTCAAGCAAATATTTCATTCACAGTAATGGACACTTTCCAGAATACAAAGGTTCAAATAATACTACATATGACTATGGAATACAATATCTATTCATAGATATTGAAATTCAAATCACTTACCTTCTTAATATTGCTTTGACACCCAGCCTGTAGAGCAGCAAGGGCCAAATCTTCCATTTTCTGACGACTGATTGGAGATATAAAGTTGAGGTAATAAGCGGAATATAAGCCATCAGAGAAGTCCTGTCCAATCCGGATTAAGTTTTCTTCTGTTGGCTGACAAAAGTATATTGCTGGGACATCTGGCACTTCTCCTCTCTCGCTGTGCAGAAGCCTGTGAATTATTCAAATGTGAGTATAACTCTTTCCCAATCACCTACTGCATTTGTAAGTATACATATACATATACATATACATATATATACACACACACACGTATATATATATATATATATATATATATATATATATATATATATATATATATATATATATATATATATATATATATATATATATATATATATATATATATATATATATATATATATATATATATATATATATATATATATATATATATATATATATATATATATATATATATATATATATATATATATATATATATATATATATATATATATATATATATATATATATATACATATACATATATGCAGACAGACACAAACACATACATAAAATAAATATAATATATATATTATAATATATATATATATATATATATATATATATATATATATATATATTATATATATATATACATATAATATATAATATAATATATACACACACACACACACACACACACACACACACACACATATATATATATTCACATATATATATACATATACATATATGCAGACAGACACATACACATACACAAAGATAAAATAGTCCATATTACATTTTCACAGATCAACTATCACCCTTAATAAATGGACACAATTGGACACAGACACACACACACATTATATATGGATAAATATAAATGCTGATCTATAGCCATGTCCAACTTTTTATCACATATGCATTCATATTCAATATTCTATAAACATAATAAAAAATGCTTACATGTGCAGTGTGATTCCCATCTCTCGCAGGTCCTTGACTGAGAGTAGTGGAGAAATGATGTCTTGACCATGTTTGTCATAAATCAGGACAGAAAAGGTTGTTTCACTGCCTACAGTGGTATTTCCGACACCACTGTTCAGATTTATCATCCGCCGCAGCGATGCTATGACAAAGCAAGTTATATTAATTAGAGGTGTTTCCCATGCAGTATATTTCTCTGTATCAGTCCATTCCCAATACTTTAATGTATAAATAGTATACCTAAATTATTATTCTCAAGACATATCAATATCAAATACAAGGGTGAAGAAAAGCATAACTAGTGAGTAGTATCATAGAGAATCACTGTATTCCAGCTAGCAAAATTAGAAATTATGGGCTTAGAAATTTATGACAATAAAAAATATGACATAATCCTTGAGAATTTACTGATTATTTTAATTAGAATAAAAATGTAGTCAGCTAAAAATTACTGATCTTGAAATAAGTGTACAAATGAGCCCCATCTCTATCAAAGGTTTAATAAGCCAATTTCCACCACAGCTGCCTCTCTCCTTCCTAAAGTCCTGGCTAACTTTTGTTCTGACATGACAAGAATTTGTAGACCTCCCTGGAGCAACCTCTATATTGCCTTAATATTTAAGGTTGCCACTCTGGGCTTTGCCAAAGAGCCAACAGTCACAGAGGCCATGGATATCATTTGGCATAACTCATCTCCATAACTGCAAGATAACATGATGACCCTTGATTTGTACACAAAAAACAGGACTCTTCCCGGATCTATAACCTTTTGTTAAATGTTAGAATCCCTAATTAATATAACAGACTCTCTGGCTGGCTTCCAAGATCTGGCAACAGGAAAGAGCCCATCAGATACACCATATCATAATCACTGTAATCAAGATCAGAGGCTATTTCATTTTCTCAGTGTCATTGCAAACGTCCTATTTTGAAAGTCAATCTGGCTTAATTTAATGCCACCAAAAAATATAATGTTCACTGTAGTTTTGTGAATGTTATACGTAGAAGGCTCCTAAAGTGCTCAGCCACTAAGGTGACCTCATTTGATTTAAGCCTTTTCCTTGAGTTTTTTTTTTGGGGGAAAAAAAATCTAATGCTATTAATATTATTGATGTCATTATCTTGTTACAAACATAACTAATAGCAATAAAAGATGAAAGAAAATATTTCTGTAAGTCAAGGAAATTGGTAAACAGTAAGGTGGACAGTTCTAGTAATTGACTCCTTACTGACTAAGCACTTGTGGAGACATATATGTGCAAAGACAATTAATAAACAAAACACGAAAAGGGCACATCCTTTACATATATGCCATCTCCAACAGCATTGGGTTAATTGGCAAGATCTACCTTGGTATATATTTTGGTCCTTTTACCTACCATGAGTTTTAAGAAAAAAAATTAAGACTATAATCATACAGGATGGACATGAAATACTCAAAATCTATTACTCTTGACCTTTAGATCAACTCTTCCTTGTGCATAGAAAGACAAGCCAGAATCCATTTTGCTTGACATCCTTTCTGGATTTTGCCAACGACATGTGAATATCCAGGGTATGATATATCAGAAAGAAAATATATTGGAACTATTAAAATACGATATCCTACATATAAGCTTTTCATTTGATACTTCATTCTGAATGCAATAGTGACTACATATATATCATAATTTGGAATACATTTCTTCCCTCCCAAAGAGTCATATCCTTAAAAACAACTATGAAGGACAAGCTTACCACAAGGGTTATATAAACCAAAAACAAGAAAAGGAGGAACATTTGACATGAAATACGGTAATTTAGGATACAAGTGTCAGTCATGGATATTCAATGACCATTCATTACCAGTGGGACATTTAATTGCAAAATGATAAGCCTTAAATGACAAGAATTAAATGTACACAATACGGAAAATGTATTGACTAACCGAAAGACAATTTTTACATTTATATCTTAATATTGGATGCTATGACAATCCAAATATAAATCATCGGCCCAAAAGTGTGAAAAGAGAAGTGAGAATCCAAGAAACATATTACTGCAAATGTCATGAAACTCATCTGTCACTCTGACATCAGTGACATCAATTTCTAATGGAAATTCTCCACTTTAATTAGCTGTAGTTACACATACGTTACAGTACGTTAACATATGTGTGGTTATAGAAAAACTGCCTAATATTTCCTCTATAACACATAAATAAACCAAATTTACCTATTTGCTTTTCCCGAAGACTTGACATGGTTTGTTTACGTGGAGGAAGAGCGAGACTGAATGCAAAGATTTAAAACTCTATTGCCGTCTTGGAGTTTTTTGTAGAGGAGATTAAAATGAAACTGAATGAAATATTAATATGTTCTTATCAATATCAATAATAAATTGTGATCTCTTCAACAAAGGTAAACTTGTTTTATAGGTATTATCTTTATATTCCAAAATATCTACATTTCTTTACGTGGACCAGCGAACATGAATATAAAGATATCTACATCACCCCATCAAAATTTCTATTAAAATAAAGATAAATCCTTAAATCAAGGAAAATTTCATATATACTTGTAAACAGAAATTTTAATGCTGTAAGTTGATTAAAAATTATATTTTATACTCATACCCTCTTGTTCACATAAAATGTATACATTTCTCTCTTTTTAATAGCGCCATTCAATTATATAAACAAATTA